CAACTCTAATCCGCCTACAATACCCAAAATCACAACGACTCCCGGAGAGTTCCAAATCACCCAATACAATGCTCCTGTCCCCCTCCTCGTTCAAGAGACTATGGAAATAGGTTTGCATCTCTGACGAATAAGCCCCTCATCCAACAAAACTCTACCTTCTTCGTCCTTGATGCACTTCACTTGGTCTAAGTCACGCGCCTTCCTTTCTCGCTCCTTGGCTAGCCTGAACAACCTCTTATCCCCACCTCGGCCCTCGAGTTCCTCATACAAACGACTAAAAGCTGCAGTCTTGGCCGCCGTAACTGCTAGCTTTGCCTCTGCCTTCCTTTCTCGCACCTTGGCTAGCCTGAACAACCTTTTATCCCCACCTTGGCCCTCGAATTCCTCGTACGAACGACTGAAATATGCAGTCTTGGCCGTCGTAACTGCTAGCTTTGCCTCTTTCTTAGCCAACTTATAATGCTCCTTATTCGCCCTCTTCTCCTCCTCGTCTACACTTTCCACTAGCTTCAGATACGCCGCTTTCTTAGTTTTCACTTTTCCTTGCACCTCACCATTCCTCCACCAGTCTCCCTTGTGACCACCAGAGTAATCCTTTGAGACCCCTAATACCTCTCTCGCGGCTTCCCTAATGCACTACGCAGTCGTGGTCCACATAGCGCTTGTGTCCCCACTACTCGTCCAAGCCCCCATAGTCAACAACTTGACCCCCAACTCTTGCGCTTTAGCTTCCGTCAAGGCTCCCCACTTGATCCCTAAGTTACTCGGACTCGGGTGCGGGTGTCCGACACGGGTGCAGATCCAAAGGTCGGATCATTCATGGTCTAAATTTTAGGATTCGAGGATACGGATTTAGGTGCGGGTACGGGTGCAGGGATTCGGCAAAAATAAATTTAAAATATAAAAATATAGTTATAGAAGTTATAAAGAGATCTAGAGATACAAAAGAAATGAAACATACCTTTCGGCTAGGGATTCACAGAAAGTCGAGATGAAGCAGAGAGAGTGAGAGAATGGCTTCTTTGTCTCTGTTCTTGGACAAGAAAATTCATTCAATGAAAAAAAAGATATTATGATGGGGAGTGTATGATGACAAGACTTTTTCAACAAAAAATTCATTAAATAAGAAAAAGGTATTATGATGGGTGGAGTAGAGTTTATGACGAAAATTGACTTTTTGGACAACATAGTTCACTTTGTACGCCAGTTTTTACGGGATAATAAAATATTGCATTAAATGATATTTGTACCATTTACTTTTATCATTTTAATTTGGAAATATTTTTTAATTTTAATAGAAATATAATTATTAATCAAACTCCAAACCCTAAACCCCAAAACTAAAACCTCAAACCCCAAAATCATATAACCTTAAACATTGTTTAATTACATATGATATTGTATATATTTTATTATTGATTAAATTAGTCAGATAAAATCAATCGTTAGTTTCAGTTAAATATATAATTACATTTCAAGTATTTCGATATTCTAGAACTTGTATTGATAGAAAAAATCAAATAATCTAACAAGACGGGATCCCTAATATGATAGTGGATATATCTTGTTATCGGGCAAATTAGTGAGATAAAATCAATCGTTATTTCCAATCAAACATATATTTAGATTTCAAGTATTTCGATAGTTCATAACTTTTATTTGATAGGAAGACTCAAATGATCTAACAAGAATAGTTTCCTACTCTAGTCGATTAAGTTCTCTCATTCTTTGTTTATTTTCTAAAATTCGCTAATATTCTTCTTTGTCATATTTCTAAAGTATTTCGATATTCTAGAACTTGTATTGATAGAAAGAATCAAACATGTAACAAGACGGGATCCCTAATACGATAGTGGATATATCTTGTTATCGGTCAAATTAGTGAGATAAAGTCAATCGTTATTTCCAATCAAACATATATTTAGATTTCAAGTATTTCGATAGTTCATAACTTGTATTTGATAGGAAGAATCAAATGATCTAACAAGAATAGTTCTTTACTCAATTAATGTGATTTGTCTGAAAGCTATATAACCTTAATCATGAATAATTAATTATATTTCAAGTATTTCGATAGGTCAATATTAATTGGTGGTTCTAATCAAATATAATATAAGAATATAAGTCTTTGAATAATTTTAATTTACTTTAACTTGTATAAATTAAGTGTTATTAAGTTCTCTCATTCTTTGTTTATTTTCTAAAATTCGCTATTATTCTTCTTTGTCATATTTCTAAAGCATTTCGATATTCTAGAACTTGTATTGATAGAAAGAGTCAAACATGTAACAGGACGGTATCCCTAATACTATAGTGGATATATCTTGTTATCGGTCAAATTAGTGAGATAAAGTCAATCGTTATTTCCAATCAAACATATATTTAGATTTCAAGTATTTCGATAGTTCATAACTTGTATTTGATAGGAAGAATCAAATGATCTAACAAGAATAGTTCTCTACTCAATTAATGTGATTTGTCTGAAAGTTATATAACATTAACCATGAATAATTAATTATATTTCAAGTATTTTGATAGCTCAATATTAATTGGTGGTCTTAATCAAATATAATATCAGAATATTCTTCTTTGTCATTTTTCTAAATTATTTTAGCTCATTCTCAAATCATGTAATTTATAATTAGTCTTAAAATATGTGTCACAACATAGCATATAGTGGAGAACTAAAGGGTCAATTCTATTATGTACAATTTATAAATTTTCATGATCTTCGCGCGAACATAATTTGTCAAAAATATTACATGCTAATAATTAATTTAGAAATTATCCCTCGTTTCTGTGAGAAAGAAATTATTTATAAATAGTATAATTAGGTAAATTAATAAAATTTGTTTATTTAGAGCATATACTTGGTTAATATATATGAAATTTACTCAAATAAAAATATGTGTCTTTAAAGCATATACAATTATCTTTAGTTTACAATTAAATAATTGTTTATTATTTTGATTAAAACTCTAACTATTTTTGGTACAATTAAAACTCTAATTTTTATAAACTTAAAACTCTTGAAGACATAGTATATCTAATGTTATCTTATAAGCCAAGTGGCGGAATATTAGCAAACATATAAACTAATAAAGTTGTCAATTCCTAATTAGGCCAAGTCTTCTTCTTCCTTCTTCTCTGCATCGCTGTCTTCTTCTTCCTTCTTCTCTGCATCGATGTCTTCTTCTTTGTCGACTTTTCTGAATCTTCTTCCCAAACAAAACTTTTTCCATGTCTCTGTTTTTTCAGTACAACAAGATCCATTCGAGCCCTCCCCAATAAGCCTCAGTCCAGTAGTCCACCACCCATCTTCAACTTCTCTGCCCTAAAATAAATCATTGGAGCTCTTGATTTCAGAAACCTGCAGCATGAACAAGAAGATTGATCAAGACAAAAAGCTTCAAACGGACTAGTATAAATTACTACATAGCAGCGGAATTGAAGGTATTTCGTTTCCCATCTCTTCAAATCTTTACTTAGGGAAATCAATTCTCAAAAATTTTCCCAAAATTTTGGTCAACACACCCGATCTCGTTTGACCGGATCTGACCCAGATCCCACACCCTTACCCGTGTTAGTGTCGTGTCGACACGGGTATGGCACCCAAATTGCCGAGTCCGAGTAACTTAGCTTGATCCTATGTTGGCTATACATCGCCCTCTACCAACTCTTCCTCGTGATCTCAAGGTCCATGACCAGGAGCCTATGAAGGGTCGAGAAGTTCTCACTCGGGATGACCTTGCAATCCGTGCAAAGACCTCTATCGGACTTCCTGCAGAGTAAATAATTAATCTGAGTCTCGGCCACCGAACTCCGGAAGGTGACCAAGTGCTCCCTCATCTTCAGGAAATTCGAGTTTGCTATCACCAAATTAAATGCTCTAGCAAAGTCCAGCAGAGACGTTCCTCCTCCGTTTGTATCTCCAAAACCAAAGCCACCATGCACATCATCATACCCCCCAGACGTCGCTCCAATGTGGCCGTTGAAATCTTCTCTTATGCAAAGCTTCTCGGTATGCGGGATGCCACGCACCATTTCATCCAAATCCTTCCAGAAATGCCTTTTGACTTCCTCATCCAAGCCTGCTTGGGATGCGTACACACTAATTATGTTCAAAGTAAAACCTCCAACAACTAGCTTAATAGTTATCAGCCTGTCATTCACCCTCCTAACCTCCACCACTAGTTCACGGAGGTCCTTATCAACCAAGATACCTACCCTGTTCCTGCCCCCCACCCTCCCAGAATACCAAAGTTTGAAAC